GCCCGGCCTGCTTCCCGCGAGCGAGCGAGCGGGCCGCCCAGAGCGCGCTCGGCGGCGGCGGCGAGGCTGGCGCGCTGGCCGCCGTCTGCTCGCCTGGCGGAGGCGACCTGGGCCGGCGCTGCTGGGAACTTTGCACAACTTTCCCGGAGCCAGGCCGGCCGCAGATTCGAGGGGAAGCCGAGCCCGCCCCGCCCCGCCCCCGCGCAGCCCGCGTCTGCGGAGCCCCGAAGGGCTCCCAGCTTCCTTTCCAAACCGCGCCCGGGAGAGCCACCGGGAGACCTGGAGGCGCGGGCGGCGGGGCACGACTCCGACTTGGGGAGGGGCGGGCGCAGCTGCCGATGAGCTCGCGCGCCCACCCCGCGCCCGCCGGGACCCACCCTCCCCGGGCCGCAGTGCCGCATTGCACCTGTAGGCGGCCTCCGAGCATCTCTCTGGGTGGGAAGACACTGGTCGCCTGGCCGCCATCGCTCTCCAGCAGAACTTGGCCGCGCTGGGGTGGCTGGGGAGCTGACACTGTTTTCCACCTGGAGGCGAGCCTCACAGTTACCAGCGACACTCCCAGTCCTAACGAAGGTCACAAGGAACCCGCAGGCTGGCCTAAAGGTCGCCCAGCTCTCGCAGGACTTGCTACAGGGTCTGAAGGACCCGCTTTAGGGAAAGAGTGGTTTCCTTTGACGTTTTGACCCTGATATTGGGTACGTCGTGCCGAAAAGCTTGACTTCGGGGGCTCAGGCCCTCACAAACTAAGACACGATGGACTGTGATGGGTCAAGAGAAAATAGTTCCCTACTGGCTTGGGTTTTGAGAACAAAAAGGGGGCCTTTGGGTATTGTCTCCTTTCTGCTTTGGGTGGAAGGCTCAACGTGGAAAATATTTTCAGTGCCGGATCTCTTTGTGCTGAGGAATAAAATAAGACTACTGACCTCTTCAAATCGTTTCAAAGTCACCAAGGGTACTTGAGCGATATTGGTATGCCAAGAAGTACTTTTTAAAAAGATGCTTCGTTAATGGTGCTCTGCTACCTGATCACTGATGAGAGAAAATCTGTTCTTTGCAATGGTTGCATCCAAGAGGAACACGTTTACAGTTACTTTGGCAGCCTTAGGATGAACCTTCCTCTTAATATGCCTCAGCTCCCTTTTCTCCCCTAATTATTCTAATTGGTAGGCATCTGGTTGTCAACTGTTAATTCCTTCTAGACTTTTCTCACCAACATTTCTATACAAGCTAATCGCCCCTATCTCCTTCCCACTTCTTAAATCTGAGTTGAAGTGCTAGGTAATGGTTAAAAAGCATAATTCACAAAGACTATTGTGGTCTTAAAATACACCTCAGGGCTCCTCATATCCAAACTTGTTTTAATTCTCTCCCTTGTGGCTTATCCTCTGCACATCCCCTTAGGAAGGCGAATAAAGCCAGACCATTAGTTGAGCTTAGATCCAGCCACCTGGCTTGAGAGCTTACCTGAGATTGCAGGTGTCTCTAGGTAGCAATCAGCAGCCTTGGCAAGCAAGGTTGGTTAAGTGATGGGCTGCTAATGGCAAGGTCAGCAGTTCAAACCCACCACTTACTCAGCAGAAGAGAAACGAGGCATTCTTCTGTAAAAAATTAAGACCTCAGAAACCCTGCGGGCCAGTTTTATTCTGACCGCTGTGAGTTGGAATTGACTAGTAGCAATCTAGGCTACTTGTAAACCAGGCTGGGTTCTAGTCCACTAATAGTTTTAGACCCTTTGTGTTGGGCTGCTAACCACACGGTGAACAGTTGGAAATCACCTTAGGAGGAAGACAAGGCTTTCAACTCCCTTAAAGATTTATAGTCTCAGAAACCCAGAGGAACAGTTCTACCCTGTCCTGTGCGGTCGCTATGAATCGGAACCTACTCATGGAAGTGCATTTATTTTATTTTTACAAATAAACAACATGGATTTCACCTGTTCAGCAGGGGTGTCAAATGAATCCCTAATTTAAAAATGTTAATTGTCTTGTCAAATAGCCCACAGTTCTTCACCTTTCTTGACTTGAGAAGCCCTCATCTAGGAGACAGAAACTTTTCAGTACTGTTCTTCCAATTAATCCGCACTCCCCTGCCCCCAACCAGTCATGTTTAGTTTACCCAAACAGACGCTAACCTGCACTTCCTCTCAGTCCTTGGAGAACATGGAAGGACTGCTGAAAGAACTTAAAAGATGGAGGCCCCCTTGGCCTCCACGTGCAAAGGAACATTCCCAAACACCATCCATATAAAAATGGCCTCCTTTAACTTTGGCAGCTACACCTGCAGGAGGCAAGATGCTTTTAGTCTGGGTGAGACTATCTTACCCGGTGCTGAAATCTTCGCATTGGGTACACTGGCCACACAAGATCCCTTTAAGTTGTTGAAAAGGAAGGATGTTACCTTGAGGACTATGGTGCACCTCCCCCAAGCCGTGGTACTTTCAGTTGCCTCATATGCACCTGGAAGTTGGACACTGAATAAGGGAAAGTGAAGAAAAAGAAGTGCATTTGAATTAAGGTGCCGGCAAAGAATATTGAAAGTGGCACGGATACCAAAAGAACAGCTCTGTCTTGTAAAATGTTCCTTCAGCGGCAAGAATGGTGAGAATTCATCTCACATACTTTGGACATGTGATCAGGAGAGATTAGTTCCTGAAGAAGCACATGATGCTTGGCAAGTAGGGCAGTGAAAAAGAAGAAAAGGAAAGCCCTAGGCAAGACAGATGGACACAGCAGCTGCAACAATGGGCTCAAACGTAAGAATAATGGTGAGGCTGTCATAGAACCGAGCAGTGTTCCTTTCTGTGGTACGTTGGGTCCCCGTGAGTCAGAACCAGCGGCACATGACAACAACAACAATAAATCCTTACAGGAGCAAAAAGCTTCATCCTTCTCCCATGGTGACTTCAAACCCCTGGCCATTAGCAGCCTAAGGCATACCCCACTACCCTAACACATCAGGGTTCTTTCCTGTTCATAAAAGGGTAGGACATTGTAAAGAAGTTATTCAGTTTCAAGGAATTATATCAGTGCTGAAGTACTTGAGGTGAAGTGAAAAGATATTTGCAACTTACTCTGAAATTCATACAAAAATTAGAGGAATTGTTTGAGTGTTTATCCATGTAACTATCCCCTCTTAATACATCAGCCAAGAATTTAGTTCAGTTGTCATTGAATTATGCCTACACTCGTGTGTATCAAAGCAGAACTTTGCCTTCATAGTGTTTTCAATCACTCATTTTTTGGAAGGAAATCACCAGGCCTTCCTTCCAAGACATCGCTGGTGGACTCGAACCTCCAACGTCTCTGTTAGAAGAACAGTGCTTAACTGTGTGTACCACCTAGAAACCCCAAAGCAAAAATAGTAAAGTATTAAGGATAAAAGCTAGCTATTAGGTATATGGCTGTTAACTAAAATTCTTTCTAATTTCCATATGTTTGAAGACTTTCATTATAAAATATTGGGTGCGGGTATTGAACAAAGATCTATATTTACATAGTGCCATGAATACAGTGGATAATATAAAAATAAACAATCATTATGGAGTGAAAGGTACCTTTGTAAGGAAATACAGTAATGTAAAGGTTGTAGTCATGAGCAAAGGGTTGGTAGTGGTTTTTCCCCCCCATTTCTTTTTACCCAAATTCCTTTTTTCATTTTAACAAGTGATCAAGAAAGGTTTAAATGATAAAGAACAGTAGAACCAAACCCACTGTCATTTAGGTGATGCCCATTCAAAGCAGCCCTATAGAAAGGGGTCATAGAAAATGCTTTTCACACCTCTTTCTCCCCTCCCCCTGAACATGAAAAGAGGCTAACACTAGTTCTTGAGCCGCTGGCCTTAGATGGAGACTGACATTGGTGGTGCAATGGATTAAGCATCGAGCTGCGAACTGAAGTCAGCATTTCAAATCCATCAACCAATCCTTGGGAGAAAGACACTGGAGACTTAAAAGACTTACAGCCTAGGGAATAGTGCTACAGTCCTGTCGGGTCACGGCGAGTCAGAATCGACTTGATGACTGGGTTTGGTTTGGTGTTAGACATTCCACAGAAGACAGATGTCTTTCTGCCAATTCAGTGGAACCAGTGAATGCTTCTGTGTCCTAAGCATTTCTCTTGTCCCACCTTATTACCATCTTGGAAACTTGGCTGTGTCTCCACTCCGACCCCCCAGGGAACTCTTATCTAACCCCCTATCCAAGGAAGCACAGTATGTGAATATGCATACAACTATCCAATGGATTTATTCTCATTCTGTGTCACAAGAAATTCTGCATTAATAAAAGAACAAAAAGAAACCACTATGGGCAATACATTACACATTAAAATATCGGGAAAAGGTTATAGCTCCCAAAGCAATCATAACCAGGCCACAAATGTATACATTCAAGCATACATTCAGTAAATCCATTTTTTTCAAAGCTTCATTTTACATACACAAGGGATCTGAATTAATTTACTTTGGAAACCAGAAGTATGAATTTCTTACATTATCAAAAGTAATTTTGTCTTGAGTCTCGTTTTAAACCTTGCTTTGGTTTTGTTCTGAGCTGACTTATTTCTGATTTTGCCAGCTCTGCCCCAGTCCTATTTCACACTCTTTATGATACTCTGTTTGACAAACAAATAATAGAAAGTGGCACTGAAAACTCCAAATTCGAGATCTGGGAACCAGAGACTAAAATCAGCATTTTACTCCTAGGATTAAACTCACAAATTCATTTGTAACTATTTTTATGGTTTTACTGGAACAGGGGGCGGGATTCCCCTTTTTAAGTTTCCCTTTTTTTTTTTTAAGATTTGAGACTACTGTTTGAAACCAAGAACCTGGAAGTTGCTATTAATTTGACAGTCCCTAAACCACTACAAATGATTCAGTCTTTTGTGTGGTGCTGATGTCATAAAGTGTCGGTTTTGTGAATGGTACCCAAATGACTAGATATTCTGGTTTAGCAGTTAAAACATATATACACCAAATGGTTCATTTGAACAATTGACTGATCTAAATGCAATTGTTTTCTTTTTTTTAAAAATCATTTTATTGAGAGCTCTTACAGACATCATAACATTTCATAGTTCAATCATATCAGGCAGTATTGTACCATTGCTCTCACAGTCATTTAAAAAAAATCATTTTATTAGGGGCTCATACAACTCTTATCACAATCCATACACACATCAATTGTGTAAAGCGCATTTGTACATTCATTGCCCTCATTATTCTCAAAACTATAATTGCATGTGTGACTGCACCCTTACACACCTTTTCAATGCATACAAAGCTCTGGAAATGGCACTTTCAGAAGCAGGTTGCTTTGGAAACTAACACCCAACTGTTCACACTGTAGGCATCTTTTCATCTCTTATGCCCTTGGATTTTTTCAAACAAATGTTAACCAAAAATCTGCCTCCAGATCTTTTAAACAA